AATATCTGTTAGTGTATTTGAATGTGTCTCCTGTTGGCACGGCTAAGAGCAGCTGGCACCCATGTGATGTAGATGTGAGAGTGCTTGCTTTCATCTGTCTGGTGGCAAATTTAGACTGTACCTGGAAGCTTTTTCTTTTCTTTTTTTCTTTTGTAGAAATGATGGCTAATTTTTTTTTAATGAAAATAGAGGGTTCTCGGATGATGCTGCCTCGGTGGAATGCCATTTCTTTTTCAGGGTGTGCCCCGGTTGTAGCAAGATGCTGCTTTTTTGGTGCCTTTCTTGTCGGGATGATTCTTTTGGTTTCTAGAACACCCAGTGCGTTTGGTCTAATAGTCTTTCTCCCAGTCCTTTGTCCTGGTGACTCTGCCCTCTCCTCCTTGCCTTGTGACTTGGTGTCTCTCTGTCTGTTATGGTATGGCCTGACCTGCATTTATGCCCTGCCACACCTTGAGTTCTGCTCAGAGCACCTGAGGTACTGTCTTTCTCAAATTGGAATTAATAATTAATATAAAAAGCTTGAAAAAAATCTGAATTTTGTTACATAGTGTAATAACTGTTTGTAGATACTGTTCTGAGATGTAGGAATCTATTGGTGATATAAGAGGTTTTGTCTGTAAATAATCAGTTTAGAGTCCAAATGATTTTAATAAAGAGAATTCTTACACAATAATTCAATAAATTTTAATATACAACCTGTGTGTCATACCTGTGTTGCACGATGATGCAATTGTCCAGAATCTGTTCGCCTCTTTTTCCTCTGAAGTGGAAACTCTGTACTCCTGAGCACCAGGACCTGGGAACAGTGCCAGGAGCGTGGGGCTTTTCCCTCCTGCCCCCTCCCCAGTCTGTGAGCAACCGCCTGTGTTTCTCTGGGATAACCTTGTGCCACCTTTGACTGATGGCTCCTACTTCGTGGATGCTTCTGCAGTTTCCAGAGCGCGAATAGGGGCATCTCCCTTCCCAGATGTGTTTCAGCAGCTGGGAGTGGGGACATGTAGCACCTTACCCCTCTGGTTGTGGTTTTCCACAGTGGGCAAGTGAGGAAGGGGGTTGCTTAAGGTACAGTTTATGTTCATCGCGTGAGGCAGGAACCAGTGTTCCTAAATTAGCAGAACAACTTCAACTAATGGCACAGTTCTTCCCAGACATAAAGCTGGCTCCCGGCCCCTCTCTCCTGTCTTCCCCCCCCCCCCCCCCCCCCTTCCTTTTGGATACAGTCTGCTGCTTCCCCCCCTCTTATCTATGTAACGTCACTGCTGTAGTCCCTCCTTTCCCTCCCTGTGCGTGTTCTTGTTGGCCTTTTAGGGGTTTTACAAATCACTTGTCCCCCGGGTGCTGCCCCTGCGCTGGCTCAGCCCCCAGCCCGGTGCAGCCTCTGCCCCCTCCCGTGTTATTTTTAGTGCGGGGAAGGCAGGTGAGAGGAGAAGGGGCACAGGCGAGGGGAGAGACGCTGCGGGAGGCCCCGACCTCGGTTTGGCAGCCGGGATCTGCGGCAGAGCTCCTGCTGGGCAGCCTTAACCCTTTGCTTCGGGGCTGGGCTTTGGTTTCTGCAGGCTGGGAGAGGAAACCCGAGCTCCGCACCACCAGGGCCCCAGCGAGGGGGAGGCCAGGGCATGCCCAGCTCTGCTGCAAGGCTGCAGCGTGCGGCAGCAGGGAGGAAAAAAAAAAAAAAAAAAAGTTTTTTTTTTTTTTTTTTTTTTTTTTTTTTTTTTTCTCTCCACTCTGTGTGTGGCCGTTTGCTCCTCAGTGGCGGCTGGGTGCGGGGATGCTGGGGTCCTGCCTCGGTGGGGCAGGGCTGCGGGGAGGAGGATGCTGCTGTGGTGGTGGTTCTCCGCGGGGGAAGCGTGGGCTCCGCGGTCCCCAGCACCACGCCGCGACTGGGTTCGGGGGCGTGCGGGGTGCCTCAGGTCAGGCAGCGCGGCACACGGCGGGGTTTGGGGAGCCTGTCCCCTCTGCCGGGCACAGGCTGGGGGTGGCTGTGCCGGGCAGGAGACGGTGGTGCCACCGCAGCGAGGCCGGGCCGTGGGTCCTGCCGAGACGCTGCTGGGAGCAGTGGAAGTGCCAGGCACCCCCACCGTTTCTGGGTCTGGGGACGGCGGAGCAGAGGGGAAGGATTTCTCTGTTTCCATCTCGGCAGAGCTGTGAATTTTCCTCTATAAATAGTTGCTGTGGAGACTGTGGAGCTGCAGCAGGCTGACAGACCTGCTGCCAGGGAAGCTGGGGCAGGCAGGGAGAGGCCAGCAGTAAAGTGAATCCACCGCAGCTGTCCTAGGTCTCCTGCTATCCCGAAGCCAAGGTTGTTCCAGAAGCTGTGCTGTGATCTGATACCCTGCCCCGCTCCTCACCACGTCCATCCAGCGATGCAGAAGATTTTGGTCTGCTCAAGGACACCCCTCCCGGGCAGCGCAGACTAAAAGGAGAGCGGGACCAGCTGGTATCTCACTTTGGGGAGCTCCAGAACGAGCCAGATGACAAACGGAGCAGCGTGCCCTGCCTGCAAGCTGCTGCACGGTAAGTCTGCGTGGGGTCCCTGGGGCTTGGAGCCCCGCACGCTGACGGGGCGTCTTTTACGCTGCGTGTTGCAACTTGCAGGGGTGCTGCGCTCGGCGAGGGTTTGCCAGGTTCCTGCAGAAGATGAAGGTGTGTATCGCTCTGGAGAGCTCTGCGACTCCAGAGGTCCAGGCATTATAAGGCATGACTGGTGGTGGGCAGCTCCTTAGGAGTTGTCCAGGCTAGAGGCGAAGCACCGCTCCCTGCCCATGGCTCTCGCAGACCAGGCAGGACCAGTATGTTTTTGGGGTGAAGTTCTCTGACTTGGTCCAGGCCTGCCACAAGCCAGTAGGTTCTGCACAACGTAGCTTTGAATGACAAGCAAAATAACAGTTGTTTTTAAAGTAAAGACACCAAGCGATGAAAGACTTTAAAGCATTGATCATCCTTTATCACAAAGCTTAGAAAAGTGCATTTCACTCTTCTATACTAAGTTGCATAGCAACGCTCCTCATCCTTTGCTATTGCATCCATCTAACTAGGGTGGATGGAGGTAAAGTCTCGCATGCCTAAGGACAGACCTGCCTCACCTCCACAGCAAGAAGGATACCAGGGCCCGGTGAGCTGCCCAAAAGCTCCATCAGCCCTAGTACTAGGATGCATTTTACACTCTGAGTCTGTCTTTAGGTCCTACTTTCCCACCGAAGTCTCCTATTACCATAACAATCCACCTAGGCAAGACGCTGTTGAACTCCCATCTCCACATGCTCTTGAGTTTTCCTTTGGCAGGTGAGTTGTGAGTGACATAATAAAATGTTTAAGGCAGTTGCCTGGCTCTCAGGTCAGCCCCTGCTGTCCTAATGATGTGAGTGACAAGGGCTTAGGTAGATTCTGGTGGTGCAGGAGCTTGCGAGGTTACTGGTATGTTCAGTCTGTGCACAAACAAGGAAAATGTTTATTTCACCTTTGCTTTGTAGCTAACATGTTAGTAAGTATTTACCGAAAAGAGTGGCTATACAGACATGCAGCATCCTGGAGGTTTATGCCTAAGAGAGACTGATTCTGAACAGTGTAAATGCTACAGTTAGAGATGTAAAAATATAAGGAGGGGGAGGGATTTTGAGCTCCTTTCAGACTGCTGTATGGGCTAGGGTGAACGGAGCAATGTCAGCTCTGGCAATTTGGATTGTCCCTCACGGGATCGGAGTGTCAAGTCCAGTCTGACCTTTAATTAGAACCGTGCTGGGAGCTTGCTAGGTGCCCAAAGGCAGGCTGCGTCTATGGCTGCTATGCTGGGAGAGGAGCATCAGCATGTGGAAAGAAACTTTAGTCTTTTGAAGAAGTCACATCTCTGTCTCAGCACCTGGAAGATGTTACTGTCCCAGAACAACTCCCCGTCACATGGCTCCCACTGCCACCACCACCACCACTGCCAGCCCACTGCAACTATTTCTGAAAATCCTCTGGTGCAAACGAGCTCTTAGCTTTAGCGACCTGATTTGGAGGATTTAAAGGTCAATATTTCTACCCGTGCTAATGGCCTACTGGGATTATCATCACCTGTCACAAGCTCTGGCGACATGCGTTAACCTGAAGCTTCAGCCGTACAGCAAGTGACATTTCCAAATTATGAAAGGCTGGGTTGGGAGTACCCCAGCTACGGCAGCTTACATCTATATTTCCATTAGCAACATGGGCTCTGGGCTGCTATTTCAGGTGACCGGTGCTGAAGCCAATTCTACACTGGTGCTGCAGGGCAGGGGGACAGCAGTTGCATCAGTCTGTCTGTGCTGTCTCGGTGTTTGTACCTTGGGCTGTCATAGTAACAAACCCCAGGAGCAGTCTCCCTCTCCGTCACAGCCTCTCGCTAGGGCGTCACAGGACGGTCAGTGATAAACCCGTGCCCTGGCTCCGGGGCTGGGCTGTGGACAGATGTGCAGCGCTGCCATCTCTAAAATGCAGGTTCTGCTTCGCACCCATCTGGAGCGTGAGGCTCCTCCTGCCAGCAAAAGCCCAGATGTGTCCCCCCTCAGCCGGGATGGGGATGGGGAGTAGGTGCTTTCCCCGGCTGCGGCCATGGGAGGGGATCCCACAGTCCCCGCTAAGCCCCTGAAAATCCACAGTGGGCACAGGGAAACCTGAGACTCCCACCTGGCCCTGGCCCTGGCCTGGCCCGCGCACTGCCAGGATCCCTGCCCCGCCGCAGCTTGCCAGCTTTCCTCTTCTGAACTCTTAAAATAATCCCTGCCTCCGTGAAGTGCCAAAAGCATTTGTAACAGCCTGGCTCCAGGGGCTGATGAAGCGGATGGCAAGGAAGGGGGTGAGGGGACAGCAGGGGTGGAAGAGGGAATCAATGCACGCAGCATGCAGCAGAGGTACGGCTGCCCGGCAGCTCTCCAATTCTCTTTAAAGGAGTAAAACACTGAAGATCGCACCACCCGCGTCCCACAGCCTGGTTCCCTACTGCCTCCGTCCCCTCGTGCCAGGATCTGCTGCGCGGCTGGGCCATGGAAGAGCGGGTGCAGCAGGAGATGCTGGCAGCCCAGCACACAGGTCAGTCCTCGGGCATGCAGCTCTAGAGCCGAGATCGTGCCAGGCTCTTCCCAGGCCAGAGGAGGCCACCAGGACGTGTCTGGCCGTTCCTCTGGGAGGACGGCTGTCCTCAGCTGCTCTTTCAGTCTAAGAGCATTTAGAGATGTCAGTAATGTTTCTTGGCGATGGTCCCCACAGGAGGCCACCACCCGGTGCGGGAAGGAGAGGTGTTCAACACGCGATACCAGGCTCTGTGCAAGCTGGGCTGCGGCACCTTTGCCACCGTCTGGCTGTGCCAGGACATGAGGTGAGGGGCTAACGGCCTTTCGGGGAGGTGGGAACGGGGGGGGGCTGATCTCCTGGGCAGGGCCGGCCCCTTTCGCAGACGCTGCAGAGCGCAGCTGCCTGCCTGGGAGCATATTGGCATCCCCCCGAGCACAGGGCAAACCTGCCAGCAAGACTGGTGGGGTGCAATGGGCAGAGCTGGTCTCTGGAAACCAAAGAAAGTAAATGAGATGGGATCAGCCCTTGCTCTGCCTTTGCTCTTCTCGTTTAGACCCTGCAGTATCTATCCTCCTCTGCCTCTTTCTCTCCAGTTCCTTGCTGGTCCCTGGGGCAGCTGTGCTGCCAGATGCTGGCAGCATCGCCAGGAGGGATGCCCACGGGCCTGGCGTGCTGCAGACCAAGGACAAGGCTGCTTGCAGGAGAGCAGCACCCTCCCTGGGGAGCCCAGGGCTGGGTAACTGGGAGAAGGGGAGGTGCTGCTGGTTAGGGCCACACTGGCGTGCATTGGCTGGCAGCTGTGATTCGTTTCCCAGGAGGAAGAAACACGTAGCCGTGAAGGTCCTGAAAAGCAGGGAAGGCTTTGCTGAGGCTGCCCAGGACGAGGTCGCTCTCCTCCGCTGTGTATGTATATTCTGGGGCTCTGCGCTTTGCTCTGCGGTGATGGTCACTGAGTTCAGGTCTGAGTACCAGCCTCATCATCCCTTCTGCCTCCAGGTCTCAGCCTGAGGAGCTAGGTGGGGAACAGGAAAAAAACCAAAAAGTTAGGGAATTCATAGAAATCACCCTGGCTTAGCACTGGCCTCTAAAACAGGCACCTTCTCCTTCCCCCTGTCATACTGGGACATACTGGCTGTGTACCACTTGCCCTGTCAGCCTGTCTGTTTCAGCTGAGACCAAAATCCAGTAAGTAGGAGGAACCTGCAGAAGGATAAGGCAGATAATCAACAGAAAAAGGTGGTAATGTTCGTAAGCAGGAGATTGGAGCGTGTCCACTGTATTTGTGTCATTCCCAGCTCAGAGGACATTGCTCTATCACAACACTGATACTGAAGTAAAAGGAAATATCTGGGGAAAAAAATGCAGGATGTAGCAAAAATATAATAAAAAATAAGTCAGAAAAAGTCAGAAAGCTTCCTCCTGCCTTTGCTAATGGATGTGGTAATTAGGTGCCTGTATCTGGGTCTCAGCTAGTTGCCTTTGAAGATGGCTTGACCTGCCAGTTCTAGAAAGCTAGTGGTTACAATTCTGAGAGTTTGCCTAAATACAAAGTTACATCAGCTTTAGATGAGTAAAAGCCATTAAATTTTGCATTTCAAATTACTCTGAGGCCTTTCTCCTACAGGTTTGAGAAAGGTTTAGTTCACACCTGTAAATCTGTAGGGCCTATCCAAAGGGACATGAGCCAGACTTGGTGATGCAAGAGGAAGCATCAAGTGGCACTAATTTAATGTAATCAGAGGGCTGCTTTTTCTGCATATCAGCACAATCCTCATACAGACTGAGCCGAGCCTTACCCTTGATTTATTACTAATTCTCTCTGAAAGACACGCCTTCCCATTCAGCAGAATACAGCTGGTTCCCAGGGCTGTTCCCACCAGCACAGGGTGGTCAGTGCCGGCAGAGCTGCCAGGAGAGGCAGTCTGGTCTCCCGTGTTTCCATGGCTGCTCGCCAGTGTCGTGCCAGCACAAACCTCCTGGCACTGGTGCAGGCGGATCTGGCATCTGCACAACATGCCGAACCAAAATCCCAACAGTTATGGCTGTGAAGAGTAAAAACAAAGGATGAATTGCTGTACCAGGATCAGTGCTCTGTGAGAGCAAACTCCTGATACACCTTGCTGTGCAGGCGTACGGTGCTGGTGCCAGAGCCGGGGGTACCGTAGCACCCGTGCTTGGGCAGACCAGGGGTTCAGCCAGCCCAGCACCCTGGGCCAGCACCAGATATCCAGATGGGTGTAAGGACAAGCTAAGCTTAGGGTGCTGCTCCCACTGAATGCTCCCCTGGCCCACAGCAGTTTCCAGCTGGAGATTTCTTGGGCCACAGGTAATGTCTCTGTGGGCAGTAATTCTCAGTGGATTTACCTTCAGGAGACCTGCCCTGCTTTCCAGTGAGCCCATGTGGGCTTCAGCCTCCACAGCCCCCTCTGACAAGAACTGCTACCAATTTCCCATGCACTCTGTGAAGAACCATCTCCTCTGCTTTGCTTTTGAACCTCCCAAGTGCTAGGTCTGATGCCCCCTGGTTCTTGTACGAAAGATCTGTGTTCACCCCCTCCACCACCGCTCTGTATCTTATAGATCTCTGCAGTACTTGCCCATAGCCAAACTTTCTTCAGCCCGAAGAAGCCTACTTCACTGGGTTCCTTCAGATATGGAAGCTGCTCTCTACCCCAGTAGGACAGGTAGCTGAAGACAACCACAAGGTCTCTGCCTCTCTGCAACCCCTTGTGAGAAACTTCTATGGGAAGGTGTGGGTTTTAAAAGGTGATGTTCCAGCCTGCTACTCTGAGCCAGGGAGGGCTCTGAGGACAAGGAGCAGAGGCTGCAGAAGGGCAAAAGAAATGGACAGCCATTGCTGCTAGGAGCTGTGGTCTTGGGGGAATCCCTTTCCAGCACAAGCAGGAGCACTTTCTGGGCCTGCATGGGATAGAATAAGCAGCGGGAAGTGTGCTAGACACTATTAGCAGGATCTGTCTGAGTTATTCAGACACTGAGGGTGATGGTCCCAGCCAGTCAAGAGCTAGACAACATACAGAAACTCATTCCTTGGTAACAGACTCTGCTTGTGTGTTTTGAGCCTGGTTTTCCTGATGCTGTTTTCATGGGATTTGTCATGAAGTGCCAAATCCTGGAAGAGAAAGTCTGTAGAACGGGATAAAACAGGTGCAAGATGTCCTTGTGCACATATGTGTCTCTAATTGCAGCTTTCTTGGAATCCTCCCCCTCAGGTGAGCAGTGTGAAGAAGAAGGACCGGGCAGGAGAAAACATTGTCTGTTTGTTAGACGACTTCAGAATGATTGGAGAGAACGGCTTCCATATCCTTCTGCTGAGAGTGCTGCAGCTCTGGCTCAGCAAAGCCTGGGCTTGCCTCAGAGAGTCGCAGGATGGTGTAAAACTCAGCACTGTGCTCCCATGAGGATGAACAGGGCAGTAGCTGGACCAGGGCACAGGGAGGTGGCTGGAGGGGGAGAGGTTGGATAAGGAGATAGTTGGCTGCTCTGGTGAAGGGCAAAAAGCTGATAGTAGCATTGTCTCTCTGTTAGTGAATCCCTGACTCTTTCCCACATGCCTGCTTGGTATTTGAGGCGTTGGGTCCTTCCCTGCGATGTCTGATGGGTAACTATGCAGCCCAGGGACTGCCTTTGCCTTTTGTGAAAAAATCTTTACAGCAGGTGAGAACTTAGCTGGAACTGGGTGAGGGCACCAAAGGACTATTGGCTGGGAGACATGCCATAGTCTTCATCCTGGCGTCATGTGCCATGAACTCCATGACTGCATCTGCAAAGAAAGGGACAATATAGAGTGAAGGCCCAAGGCATTCATTTTTTTAAGGAAAACGGTAACTATTTCTTTTGGGTGTAAGGAGAGAAAACGTTAATTAAAACGCAGAGTGGGAAGTCATCACATTCCCATTAACACAGGGGTACTGTGCGTTACTGCCCAAGCCTGCAGTCTCATCGGGTTTGGGAAGGAGTCAGGGCCACCACCATAAAGAGTCAGCAGCCTGCAGACCTGCACCAGGGATTCAGAGTTGGCACTTGTGTTCCCATCATCTCAGTAATCATTGAATTCTCCAGCAGTTCTGCTGCCATAGTTATGCTTCTTGTGGGCAAAATGTGTATCTCTTCCCTCCTGCTGCCCTGAGAAGTCCCCTCTGGCAGTAATGCCAGACTGCTGGCATTCGCCTCGGCATCCAGCCATGGGTAGCACTGGCAAGTCCAGCGGCTTTCTGCATGGAACTACCAAAGGCTGCTCGAGGTCTCCTTCAGCGCTGATGTCTTTTCAGGGCTTTCTAAATTGCTGGTTTGGTTGGCTGGTCCTCCACCCATCTTGAGGTTTTCCTGCTCAGAGCCACGTCTTCCTTCATCCCCTGTAAGGATGTGGTGTGCTGATCGAACAGATCATGAAAACTGAGTTTCATATGCGTTGGCTGGGAATAGCTAAGGAACTGGAAACCTGAGTGAGGCCTCAGAATGGCTAAAATTACATTTTGCCTCTCATGCTGAGATTTATCAGAAGTCTGCACACTTGCCAAGATGAAGATTTGCTATCCTGATTCCTGTGCCCTTCTAGGGACACTAAGAAAGAAAACTGCTTCCTCCTTCATCCTGTTTTCTGGAATAGCCTCTTCTTCCTCTAAAGAAGCTCCACTAACACCTGAATAAGTTACACAAAAATGTAGTGGCATTAATTGCTGTGCCCCATTTCACACCCAAGCCTTTTGCTTGATCCATTCCCTTATCTGCTTTAATTGTAAAATCTTAGAATCTTTTTTCCTCCTTCAGATCAGCACTGGGGCAGTATTTACTTCTGATTCATTCCAGTTTAGCTATTTAAATCTTTCCCCGCGTTTCACAGTTACCATTTAAGGTTGGTATTTCCCTGGGGCTGGCATTCATCCCAGAATAGAATTTGATAATACAGAGAATATTTGCCAGCCCTTTATGACTGACCAGAGTGTTTAAAAAACAAATGTAACTCTCCCAGTAGCCTTTTTGCTGTTACTGATTTCTGATAGTGACAGTTTCTCTCTGGTAGGCGTTGTTTATCTCTCCGGTGTGATGGACCAGCTTCTCCCTGCTCCATCGTAAGCTGTTCTTTCCCAACGTGGCTCTCCTGCACTGCCCTTAAGTCCTCTCTACATGCACTCAATCGTGGTCTCTCCCTCCTCCTGTCTGGGTTATGCTGCACCTCCTTTTCTTTTCTGGTATGATGGGATGCCCTCCTGTGCCACGTCACTCTATAACCGGCCCCCAACTTCCATTCAAATGAAAGTCAGCAGGAAGGCATGGTGGTCTGCGGACATTACAGCCATACAAACAGGACTGTTTTTTCAGGAGAAAGTTCAGCTTTGTGATCGTAATGCCTCCTTGTAGCACTGTCCTCTTTCCATCTCCCCCAGCTTGCCTGTCCATGCTGATATCTGTGGATTTTCACGCCGCCTTCTGCTGCGTGTCACCCCCACCTCCCCCAAACAGCCCCCTCCCCGCTGGGCTCCCCAGGCCCCTTCCCACTTGGTGTGCCGGGCACGTGGGACTCCGGCATGTGCTCCTCCTGCCGTGTCGTGCGATGAAACCCCTTGTGCCTGCTCCCACAGGGCCACCCCAACCAACGTCCCCGCTCTGCTGGCTGCACCTCTAGCTTAGTACAGGGCACTCGCTATACAGAAACCATTTATTGCAGATAGTTATCACCAGTGCCCCCTTTCTTCAATGCCAGAACATCCACAACTTGCATACCCGCTGTGCCCGACTGCTCTGACAGTGCTGGCAGCTGCTGGGGCAGGGGAGGCGGTGGGGACCCTCGCGTTGCTGACGTGACTTGCTGCCTGCTCGCCCAGGTGCTGGCAGGGCTGCACTTTCTGCACAAGCGCTGCCGCATCATCCACGCGGACATCAAACCGGAGAACATCTTGCTGTACGGACGTGACAAAAGCCTCCAAAGGCTTCTGCCTGCTATGCTTGACTGCGACCAGAGAAGAGAGTTGGGGCTAAAAGGAGCAGGTGAGCACTCCAAGGTTTTTTTAACAAGAAAAGGGACTTACGTGTTTATTGCCAGGAGGGAAACAGAGAGGCGGCAGGTACAGATACCTTAGAAAAGGTTCCCATCTCCTGCAATGGCCAGTACAAAAGAGTACAGCCAGCTTATGGTGCTGAGAGGCCTCTCCTATCTCTGCTTAATACAAAAATCAGGCTGAGCGGTTACAAGCTACTCGAGGCACCTACAGAAACACGGTCTTGCAGGTAGGCTTGTGTGGAGGACAACTACAGATGACAGGCATCTGTTAACAGCTCCACCACGACCTTGGAGCTCGTTCTTACAGCTTTAGGTACAGGATAGTTCCTTTGTGTCTGGTGTTTTCAGCCACTGAAAGGTTTACATACAAAATGGCTTGATCAGAAAGCTGTATGACACTTCTGCTCTTTATTTCCCATATTTCTGAGCTTTGTGGGAGACTTGTATGTACTGCTAATCTTCAAGGCCTTTTGAGACATAATTTATTTGAAGAGAATGGTGTGAATATTGAATAAGACATAGGGCTGGAGAGTTTCTCGAGAGATCAGCTCATCTCCCAGCAATGAGACTCTTTATATTATCCTTGTGTGATATTCTCCCATAAGCATTTCTCCCATGATGGTGCTGTTTTGTCTCTCAAACTCTGGGGCAATCAAGGAATGCTAAATTAGTGACTGAGTCTTGCTTGGAGCGTAAAGGCACAATATTAGGCATAGACCAACAGCTCACTGTACAGCAGTAAACCAAAAATTACCCTTTTCTGGGATCGTATGAAAATGTAACCTTTACAGTGCTTGCCAAGCAGGCTGTGTCCAAGGTCTGTGACAGCCAGGATTGCTGAAGGCTAAGGAGGCATTACAGATGTTTTGTGTCTGACTAGTGCTGGTAGGATATGGTCTCCTCTGAGCCCACAGGAATTTAACCTGGGTGCAAGAGGAACCTTGCAGCAGGACAGGAGCACATGGTCACACCACTCCGCTCCAAGCTACTGTCCTCCCAAACGTCCTCTTAGATTTTGACTGGATACTAGCTCTTTGTGTTTCCTCAAAAAACAGAGGTGGCATTTTACTGACAATAAAAAGCATTTTAGGACCTTTTAGGCTGAAAAACTTTAAAGGCAGGCATACATGCCTCTCCTGTGGCAAGTGATGCATACCTGTGGGTTTGGAAAGACCTGATTTCTCTCTGTCCTTTCCATCTAGGAGGTGATCTTGGCAACGGATTAGAAGAATCTGATTTAATGAGCATAGAAGTGAAAATTGCAGATCTGGGCAGTGCGTGCTGGACAGTGAGTCTGCTCCGAGTCTCAGTCCCATGATGATGTGGGATGCTGTGTGCTTCTTTCCATCCCACCCTGCATGTCTGTCCTTTTACAGCTGAATAGCTATTTCAGCATGCTGAAGAGATGCCAATTTCGGGGGGGTGTTAGATTCAGCACTCGCAGCTCAGAGCTGGACACTGTACTCCTGCAGACACTGTCAACTCTGGACGTTTCTTCAGCTTGCAGTTAGTCCCTACAGTTAGAAATTCAAAATGGTGTTCAGTGTGAATGTTGGGAGATGAATTTGCCCTGGTGTCAGCGAGGTCAAGAACATGCCTCCCATGCCCCGCGCAGAGTTTTGTACACGTATTCAGTTCTGCCCCCCAGTGTCCTCCTCACTGCGGGAAGCTTGTGACCACAGGCGTTGCTGTTACTTTTATGGACGCTAACCAAAGGGAGTTTGTTTCTGTTTCAGTACAAGCCTTTTTCCAAGGAGATACAGACCCAGCCATACCGTGCCCTGGAAGTGCTTCTTGGATTAGACTATGGCACTCCTGCAGATATCTGGAGCACGGGCTGCCTGGTAGGACTGGGGACAACGCTGTGCATGCATGAGAGGTGACTGACACAGACCAGGGGCAGCACATCCTTGGCACACACCTATACACACTGCATGTAAAGCAAAACTTCCTTGCTGAGAAGGAAAAGGCTGTCTGCACTCATTCAGTTTGGATTGAAAGTATGCTGCTGATAGAATTCAGTCTTAGTTTAAGCTATAAGGCAATTCACACCCCATGTATGTTAACTCATAGGCTTGACTGAATTAGGCACATACTGCTTTTCATCCTGATGGAGCTAAAGGTGCTGTTTCACCATGGTACGGATCAAAGCAGTGTGAATATTTTCCATATTTTAGGATCAGTTTTGTGTGATAGCAAGGGAAATTGGTACTATCAGAGCTAATGGGAAAGAAAAACTCCAAATCAGTTAGTGAATTAACAATGCTACTCCATTTCTAGGCATTTGAAATGGCAACTGGGGAGTGTCTATTTGATCCTCAACCTGGGAAATATTTCTCCAGAGATGATGGTAGGACTCCATCAGCTTTATTCATTTTACCGACAGAAGTGTCACAACCTTTGTATCTAGATGCGTTTTCCCTCCGTCTAGATCACGTTGCTCGTATTATTGAGCTCTTGGGAAGAATTCCTCCTCAAATTGCTTTCTCCTGGAACAAGTCAACAAAATTTTTCAGCAGGCCAGGTAAGAATTGGAGTAAGAAAGTTTACTCTAAAAATCACTGTGGATCTCTGACACACTCCCTGGTCAGCTCACACTGAAAACCCCCAAAAGTTATGTTACACAACACAGGCTACAAGCAGGGACAGAAGACAAGCGAAGATTTCATAAAGAGCAGTAACACTCCCTGCCCTGCCTACCTTTGCAATCCAGGAGTGTTCCGGGGCTGAATGTAAATTCCTGAAAAACAGTCATAGCAAACACCCAACAGGGAAAACTTTTCCGTTCTTTCTCCTTTGGATTTGGAGAGAATGGAAATATGGACAGGAAATAGCTACATGCCAGGAAGGCTGAAGAGTGTGTAACTGGCTAGATTTCACCCGTTCACTGGCAGAGAACAATGATGATCAGGAATGGGACACTCATATCCTTCCAACCTGGCTGCTATATTTAGCCTTCTGACCCAAGTGTAACGTCTCTTCTGTTTTATTCCCCTCAATTCCTTTCCCTTTGACTCATTAGGCTTGAAATCCTTGTCTTTGACTTCAAGGCATCACATGACTCCATCCTTCTGCAATTTAGCCTATCATTCTCTTTCTCTGCTTTCACACTCACCAGCCACGCAGCCTCAGCCTACCCACAATTCATTCAATGTTGAGGGCTCGTCCCACGTTGTAGTTCAACAAGCACCTCCCTGCACATTTACATCCTTTGCTCACACTTACTCCTTCTATGGTGCTCAAAAGAAACGAGTCAGAACTAGTTCTTGTTCTATATTCATTTTCCCTGTGAACCAAACTGGCCTGACCACACATGCCTAACCTGAATCGCTACACTTACACCACGTACTCTTGGTGATGAGGATAGCTCCTCGGTCAGTAGCGGCACTCTTCTGGGCCCCACGGAGCTAGGAGACACAGAACGAATTAAACGCTAGTGTCTTGTGAGCTGTGGCACTGAAACGGCCCAATGCATTCTGGGTTGAATGTGGACAGGCAGGGGGAACAAGCAGCAATGGCGCTGGCATGGCTATTCTGGGGGCACTTAATTCGCTCTCGGCACGTTCTCATCTAAAAGCACTCAGCAACGGGAAGACTCCAAACACTCGCTTGGACAGAGCTAGCGAGTCTGAGAAACACCCGAGAGCCAAACCTGCAAGGGGCAGTGGAGGCAAAGCTTACAGAGAGGAAGATATGAAGGAAGGGATCCTTCAGGATGCTTTGGATGAATTGTATGAGGCGAGGAGTGGTAGGCTCGCAGTCTTGCAAGCCGTAACCGAGGTACTATGCTTACGCTGTCTTTGCTAGGTGCCCTTCTGCGGATCTCCAGACTGTCCCCCCGCAGTCTCCACAGCATCCTGGCGGAGAGACACCACTGGACAAAACACGAGGTTACTCCCTTCACCAGCTTCCTCCTCCCCGCGCTGCAGTACGCGCCCGACCGCCGCGCCACAGCCGCCCAGTGCCTGCAGCACGCCTGGCTCAGCGGCCCGTGACCGGCCCCTCGCCCTGCGGGGGGACCGCCGACCCTGCCCGGCAGCTCCCCCCAGGCACCCCCGCCACCTGCGCCGGA